TCCATATTGATGCCTTTTACTATGGTATCAAAGCACATCCCAAACAACAATAATTACTTATTTCTCCTCAAGATCAGCATGTAGAGCGTCTGTAAAGGTGATCACGTTTGTCAACAGTGTTTGTTTACAGTGTTAAGGATTAATGACCCCTCCCCCAACAGGGGGTGTTAGTACTGTTAGGTTTGCAAACATGATTCACAAGATAAACCCAGAGATTTCAAACAGGAATCCATAGTGTTAAATGCATCCTGACCAGTTGTGGTCCATCTGTGTTCTATGCAACAGAAAATTGCTCTAGTATTTTGTAAAGTAAAAAATGTGAGCAAAACAAGACTGGGCGTTTTCAGAGGGGCACACTGAATCCAAAAAGGCTGAGAACCACTGCTTTGAAGGAATAACATCAACTGGAAGTACTGCCATTTTATTTAAAAAAAAAAAAAAGGTAAAAATAACTGCAGGTAGTACACCTGGCTCAGGGTCCCTTTACTTGATTATATCAACAGGTAACAGCACAATTTAGCTAATGTTTCAACCCTGAGAGATCTTCCATTTCACTGAAAAAAACATTAGGAAATTGTGCAATTACTAACTAAAATTAAGTCATAGCCACATATGACTTTTTAAATTTATCGTTGATTTTGATTATTCTGCCTCTGTAGCATCATATCCGGTATACAATATCTTTTCTTTCCATAGCCAGGGGAAAAAAATCTTCAGCTAGTGCTGCTTGGTCAGTTTTTGCAACTGGATACGAGAATACATGTCTAAGAAGAAATCCAAAGTGGTTTCAATGTCTAAAAAGAAATGCAAAGTGGTTTCAATAATCAAAATAGAGAAGAAATAATTTTTAAATCTGTATCTGTCTCCACAATATTTGTGGTCAATTACAGCACATAACCTTATTCATTACATTTTCTTATGAATTTCCAAAGCTAATTTTTAGAGGTAAAGTTTAAATGCATATTCTTTGATGATTTAATCATTTGCTCCATATCAAGAAATAATGACTCTCTCTCTAAAGCTCCTTTTACATCTTATTTTACAATATATCCTCTATAGATAAAAAGAGTATTTGGTAAGATAAATAATCCTGTGTATGAAAAAACAACAAATATAGGAAAATGCATTGATTCATAAAGTACCTTTTGCCTAATCAACAAGGTACTATATTCATTCTTCAACTACAAATTAATTCACATATTCCTAGAATTGATTCTAAAGTAACCAAGAATTAAAAGTAATCCTTTTCCCCCAGTCTTCATTAGAGACCTAGTGCTGTGCTTCTAAAATCTGTCCCTATAATTTCTATTTTGATCTTATACTGCTTGTATAGGAGGTATCTGAGACTGAAGTTAAACCGTGCACTGTAATCAATCAAGACACCTTAACTTTTTCTCGGAACGCTTGAATGTCTGGCAGGCCTGTTTGGCAACTTTTTGCGGTGTCATAAGTCAAAAGATTTCAGTATAATTTTCAGCATGTATTCGTGCCACTCCCAAGCTCTGTGCCTTTCTTGTCAGCAATGTGATGTTCCTTGGCATGAAACTGACATCCAGACACACAAACATTAAGAATGTAGGCACACTTGTTACTATTGCAAAACTTGTCCAGAAGATCAAGGATCAGCCTAAAAATTAGGAACGTTGTCATGATTTTTAATTCTGACATCATTTCTTTTTAGACAAAGCTAGTGCAAGGAACAGTCTGAATTACAGCAATTCCAATTATGCTATTTTATTGTAAAGTTACCAGTACACACTGAGCTCATATAATACCCAGTCACCACAAAAAAAATTATTATGAAGCTTTTGCCTTAGACTTCATTGCATTCACAATAAGAACTTCTTTGGCTCACAAGAACTTTACAAAGATGTACATAATGGGTCCGCGCATATATGTATTCACTTCTCAGAGTGCATGCAGTCCACTCTCCTGGTGATAGTTTGAATAAAACTGTATAAGTGAATCAGGAATTCTAGGCCTCACAATAGTCAATGCTTGCTGAAAATGTTTTCTCATAATACATTTCGCTTGGATATCTTCCTGAAGTGCTAGGAGGGCTGCTTCTCTACAGACTGCTGTTATCTGCAAATAAAGACAAAAAAATCATTTATATATAATAATTTTTAAGTTACGTTGCCACTAAAGAACATGTGTGTATGCCAACAGCCTGATTTCCTGTGTAAGCTTAGTAACTCCCTTTCTTTTGAAATTAGTGTGACTTATAGGTGCTCAAAAGATCTAAAAGTGAGCCTGTTGATCAAATTTAGATTCAAGAACGCTGCAGTTTATTTACAGTATTACAGTTACTTTTGGTTGTCATGCTAGCCTTGTGTTTTTCAACTCTCTGCAACAGATGAGAAGTGAAAATTCCAATACGTAGGCACAACCAATCTGACAAATATCGCTGTCCCTAAAACACAAGAACAGATATTCCCAGGTCTTGTGACTGCTTTCCTCCTTAAATCCTATGCTGGGAGAGAAAAACCAGTTAATTCAAAGAGGAAAGTTAGGAGGAGAGGGGTGTGTAGAAAGGGAAGAGGGTTAAGGTCTCATACCCTGAAATGTGTTTTTAAGCTCTCTGGACTTCAGACAGCGGAAACAGACTGATGCCAGTGTCATTCTAAAGACATTACTGTGGTGAAAAGAGCTTGTGGAATGAAAAGAGATATTGTGATTTCCAGTGCAACAGGGAAAACAGTGATTGATATTGACTGCTCCCTTGTATCTGTAAATGAAAGAGCCAGCTGAAACACATTTGTCCAGCCATTCAGCATATTTTCTCTGTTTGTTCACTTACTGAAAAGAGTTCCACTGCTTATGCTGTGCTAATGGTTGCCAAAGCCATTTAGTAGCTTTTTAGAGGATTTAGCAGCATGTTTAGGAAGCTTTCACAAGAAAACATGCATGGATTTAGATGGCTTTGTCAAGTTACAACAATATTACTATTAGTTTTGTGCTGCTCTAATGAGCAGGGAAACGAAACACTGCTGTTATGCATTTTAATGGATTTCAGTACCTCAAAGACAATAAACTGTTAAAGGATTGCTGAGATTTGGTGTACCAACTCCTTATGGTCATAAGTATAACCTAATTCTAGAAGCTAATGAAAGTATCTTTGAACCTCAGGCTCATTTCATCTCATGTACATCGTAAACAGTATATTTTTCATGGTACTAAGTGGAAAAACTCATTTGTTCACACCGATCACGTGTTTTCCAATGCTGTTTCATGTTTGCCATAAAAAAAACCTGAGAAAATAGTTTTTTATTAGTAAGTTCTATCTAGACAACCTATTAATTATCTGGAACATCAGAGCTACTGAAACAGAGTATCACTGGAACACCAGTAATCCAGTGGCTAATAGACTGTATATTTTTACTGTTAAGAAAAACAGTAGAGTGACGAGGCGCACCAGACTGGTACATGTAATAAGACTTCAGAGAAGAGGAAGCAAAAGCTATTACTAACCTTATCTCCCTCTGTTTCACTCATACAGAAATACACTTTAGAAGAACTGGCCCATCTGCAAATGCTTTTAATGGTTTTTATGTTGCCGGTATGTTCTTGCCAAGAATATCAGAAACAGTAACCATAATTAACCTCTGAAAGCCATCCTTTGTTTCTAGTTTTGTTCTTAGGAACATTCTCAGAAGGCTCCACTAAACTGGAAATTACCAAACACAAACAAATACCAGTAAAATGATACAGCCGATTAAATTTTCTGGTGTATTTGAGGTGCTAATAGAGATGTGTAAATTATTCTGCCAAAATAATTTGATGAAATTTGCCTCTTTTCTTGGTTGCAGTCAAAACCTGACCTTTTTACTACTTAAAATTAAAATACTCTAATATGCTAATACTGTACTTTATTTCTTGCTCCCTGTTTATCAATGTTCAATTAGTCACTAGTTACATGGCACAGTTTCCCATCTAACTGTTGACTGACAATATCAGATTTCTGAAGTGGAAGCTTAGGAAAGGAAACTTGGGGAAAAATTCTGATTATTTAGGTATATAAACAGATTTTCCCTCAGCCCACAAGTGTTTTGGTTAGTTGCATTTGTAGAGAATTGTAGACATTCTAGTTACAATTGTAGAAAATGGCCACAAAAGATACCTGACTAAAGGTAACAAACTAATTTGGGACTAAACTAGTTAGACACTAATGTGCTTGTATTGTTTGCCCAACTGTATTGTTTAGACAGATATATTTATAACATTTCACAGCAGTTGTTTCATTGGAGATTCAGTATTAGATTTTTAAAATGTAATTTTGCCTAAAAATCAGGCCAGATAGTTTAGAGTAGTAAATTGAAAAGAAAAAGGGACAGAAAATCCCATCATGGACCAGGAAATGAGTAGTTCTTTAACAGGCTACCTATCCATGCTTTGTGGAAACAACTTGTCTACATTTGGGGAGCTGCTGGGAGATTCCTGAGTGGGAAAGCAAGTTTTTCTCCCCACCTGAAAGAAATACCAGCACAACATTGTGAAAATCAATGTGCTCAGGATGTGGGGAAATCAATGTTTTCCCCACATCCACCTTGTGAAATCTGGCCCACAAAAGCATTCATTATTTTATTGCACTTCTTTCCCATGGCTCTTCTTCCACCACTTCCCATTTTGACATCAGTGATCCCTTTCTGCTGAGCAGCAACACAGTCCTGGGGTCCTGCAAGTCAGCTTCTGGGGGGGAGAAAGCTGCTGACAGAAGCTGGTTACATCCCAAGTGTATCTTCTACAGTTTTCATAGACACATCAGGCGTGAAGCAGAGTTGGTCAAACAGCAGGCAAAATGATTCCTTCCATCATGAATTTCAGCCCATTACTAATACCTGGTTCCCAGGCAGCCACTTTGTACCAAGAAATATAATTGGAGACTAAATCTAAAAAAAAAAAACCTTCCTGCTGCTTATATAGTTGTATCACCACCCAGAACCTTCCATAGTCAAAACTAAAAATCAACACACGTTTTTTATTAGATTAAAAAACCTGCTTAAGCACCAAGAAAAAGAACTTGGAATAGCATGTTTATCTGCATCACTCATGAAAGCCTAGCACAATAATATGAAATAAGTGGACCCATGAAGTTGCTTATGCAGAAGTCATTTCTTGCCAATTTCAGGATTCCTCAGAAATGGTGAAAATGATGCCAGAAGAAATACAGATACTAAGATTGAATGAGACTGGGACCAAAATTCCTGAACATCTGCACACTTGTGGTTTCTCCTGGGAGAGCAGTGACTCTCCCAGGAGACATTCAAAATCTGTACGTGATCTAAGTCTAAGCTACTTTTTAGAAAAATCCGGAGATGAACCTGAGATATGGGCCATTACTAATTAAAGTCATATCAAATCCACTGAGTCAAAAAATTACACACACACTATCCCAAAGCAACACTCTGCTATCTAACTCTTATCCCAAAGAATAATAACTTACAAAATCTTCCTAGAGATGAATGCAAATTATCAGTTATTTTCATATGAAGCTTTATTATCCATGGAAAGTTACTGATTTCACATAAGAGTACTGCCTGAAGCCTTTGGTCAGGATTTTTGTGGAAGACAGAAATTTGGGCTTCAGTTAGGAAGTAATGAAATGTTGCATTTGTTTCCTATTAATGGTAAAGTCTTCCTAAGTTAAACTACTTGAGCTAGGCTTTCAGATACAGAAATGGCAGATAGAGCCATTGACGGAAAGTTCAGTTATACACAGAAAAAGAGATGTCTATACCCTTCTTGTTCACTCTTTCCGTGATCCTCAAAGGAAGAAAAAAGGTAATGACACATGACACATTAATTGTGGAGCTGACTAATTAGCTCCACAATTGTCTCAACATCTACACATGGTCCTATTAGGCGACAGCAAACTAATAAATGGTGCCATAGGCATTATATAGTGTTCTGCAATGCACGTGTAGACACTGATGAGGCTGGTTGGGGCACGAGGGTGCTTCAGTGCGGGGGGCTATCTGCTGGCTAGCTCCACAGTGAAACACCTTCTTGCCCCAGCCAGCCCCTCTGCAGCACACTGAGCTGGGTAGGAGCAGCCCTGGGCTGGCAGGTCCCCTTGGACCTCCTGTCAGCCAGGGCTGCCCTGACCCAGCTCAACATACTGTGATCCCATGCACACACATAAACATGGCACCCAGGAGCAAAAAACTTCAGTGCGAACTGTACTAGAGTTTATTCAACTGCATTAATAGCACATGTAGACACACCTAGTGTGAGCCAGAACAGGACTTTCCCTTTTCTGTGGCATCATGAGCAGCCAATAAATGTACTGACTGGAAATGCAAACAGACTTCCAGGGGACTGCAAAAGAACAGGGGATCTTGAATCTCCTACTGTTGTTTAAAACTAGGAGCTATTACCTGCATCTTTGTATCATTTTATGGAAATTCACTTAAATATGTTCCTCAAGGACACAAAAGGATTTGACTGGAAAGTGACAAGTAATCTTAAATAACTTTAGGCCAAAGAACATGCATTTGAAATACTGTGCCAATTTTTCAGGGGGGAAAAATCATCTGGCCCATTTCCCACTATCTATAGTATATGAAAGGCACTCCTTAACTTTCTAAGGAAAAGGAATTATTAGGTAGATTTCTGCCAAACTCTTAGTCATCGTACCCTGAATCTTACCAAATGGAGACAGAAACCAGATCATTTCTCTTAATGATTTACAGACTCAAAGCCAGATGGGCCCATCACGATTATCTCATTTTACCTCAAATTTAACCAGGATTCAAAGGTCTTCTTGCTTGGTAGGCATGGATTCTACCACTACCCACCAATGTACTGGCTCATGAGTTGACAGCTGAATGCAAGTGCTCTATGTAGCCACATACATTTCCAGGCTAAATCTAATTATAAATGAATATTGTTAAAGAGAATAGCCATTAGATCTTGGGTTTCACAAAGCTTCTAAATCATACTGAGGTATATAACCAAGCAGTGGTCATTTTTGCACTGGCAATAAGAGGCTGGGTAGGTTTTTCTCTTTCAGTTTTCAAATATTCTTTTGTTCACAGAGACATCAAATACAGGCATGCAGCAAAGTTAGAAAATAACCAAGTGGT